AGACGAGCATCTTCCCCCACAAACAGGGCCAGATAGTAGGTGATTCTGCAAATACGTGACAGTGAAAAGCGTCCTCTATTCGCATCATCCTGGCTTTGTAGCCATTTATCATAGCGTCGTAGCTTATAAGCAACTACTCGTGAGGTATTGCTAAAGAAGGTCACCATAGAGGCGCCAAATTAGGATGGGCAGACGGGAAAGCCCCTCCCTTCCCCGCCAACGCCCCGCAACTTTTCATATGAACCCTCTGGTGGTGCATAGAAAGAACCGGCGTCAAATCCCGTTTTGCCATCTTCACTGAGGCTCTGTCACCACTGGGTCAGCATCCAGCGGTACGCCCTGTATCATTACATGCTGGCATGAGGCTGAGTCAATGTGCCCTACATAAGTTCAATGCATTTCCGACATCACCAACGAGACAATACACCAAAAAAGGCGGGGGAGCAGCTGTCTCGCCCAACTCCGATAAGATTATCATGTCTCAAGCAGCGCAGCGTTCCCCCGTTGTAAAACGCAGTGCATTTAGCCTGACAAGTCCTGTCAATATGTGCAGGATCCCTAAATATCGTTCTGCTCTCGGGCCCGCCCTGCCCGAAATTATTACAAGCTACGGGTCACAGCCGAGACCCGCCTCCGCCGTGCGGCGCTGTAAGCTTTGTTGCCCGTTTAGCGACGCGTCGGTTGGATTACTTTGTTGCCCGTTTAGCGACGCGTCGGTTGGATTTTGAGCATAAGCGTCGGGAGCACAACCAGCTTTTAAGCGCGCGAAGAACGAAGTAAGGTTTTTACCACACGCACTGTGAGTGTGCAGGGCAGCTGGCCAGCAGGGTGGCACGGCCCTCCACGGCTGACAGCGGGCCGGGGTTCGAGGGCGTTCCAGCCCGGGGTCCCGGCTTCCATTTCCGGCTGTAGCGTGGCTGCGGCCCCTGCCGGCCCCCTGCCCCGGCCCCGGGGCCGACTGGCCGACCCGAACCGGCGGTCCCGGCCGACCGTCGTCAGCGGACGTGGACGGTTCGATCGGCGTCGCGCGCGCCCGGCGCCGCGCCGTCAGATTGATGGGCTCCTGCTGGACGGTCGCCGGCTATATGACGCGGCGCCACGCTGGCTCGGCCGCCGCCGCTACGTTCCCTCGCCTCCTCCCCCCTCCCCCCCTCCGCCGGACCGGTCGTGACGTCAGCAACAGCGTGCGCCGCACGAAACGTTGCCGCATGCTTAGGAAAAGTGCCGTGTTCGTGCCACAGTCATGTTGTCAAGTGGCCATGCCGTACGTGGTTGCGTGACTACGGCAGGAGGGACCCGCAGCTCGGGAATAGTTTCTGTACTGGAGAACTAATAAATGCTTTAATCTGTACTCGATTGCCACTGGCTCCAGGACAAGAGGAAAAGGTAACCCTCAGGTAACTTCCCCCTCAGACACCATTTAATGACAGCCGCATACTCTAAACCCCATGGCTCAGAACAGATATATTACGCGGTACATGGCCAGCCAGAGCACAGGGTGGAGGCATTGCTTGCACATAACTGCACGAAGAATTTCTTGTACAGAACTGCACTGAATCCAGTCGCCCACTTTCAGCTGAAGGTGCCGAATCGAAGGTAAAGGAAACTGACACTCTTGCTGTCGTAACCAGACGTGTGTAAAGAAAACTGACACTCTTGCTGTCTTGACCAGACGTGTGTAAAGGAAACTGACACTCTTGCTGTCTTAA